GCATTAGCTTTTTATCCTGATGCCCTCCCTCCCCCAGATTCCCTGACAGGCCCCAGTGTTTGTTTTCCTCTCCCTGTGTCCATATGTTCTCACTGTTCAGCTCCCACTTAGAAGTGATAACATGCAGTGTTTGGTTTTCTGTTCCTGCCTTTTATCCATGTCCCTTCATGATCGCTTTCCTTTTTATGACTGATTAGTATTCCTTGGTGTGTATGTACCACATTTTCTTTATCCAGTCTATCATCGATGGACATTTGGGTTGATTCCGTGTCTTTGCTATTGTGAATAGTGCTTCGGTGAACATATGCACGTGTGTATCTTTATAATAGAATGATTTATATTCCTTTGGGTATATGTCTAGTAATGGGATTGCTGGATCCAACAGTAATTCTGGTTCTAGGTCTTTGAAGAATCGCCACAGTGTCTTCCACAATGGTTGAACTAACACCACCAACAGTGTAAAAGCATTCCTATTTTTCCATAGCTTCACCGGTGTCTGTTGTTTCTTGACTTTTTAATAATTACCATTCTGACTGGTGTGAGATGGTATCTCATTGTGGTTTTGATTTGTATTTCTCTAACCATCAATGATGTTGACCTTTTTATCATGTTTATTGGCCACATGAATGTCTTCTTTTGAGAAGTGTGTATTCATGTCCTTTGCCCACTTTTTTATGGGGTTGTTTGTTTTTTTGTTATAAATTTGTTTAAGTTCCTTGTAGATACTAGATATTAGACCTTTGTCAAATGGATAGATTACAAAAATTTTCTCCCATTCTGGAGATTGTCTGTTCACTCTGATGATAGTTTCTTTTGCTGTGCAGAAGCTCTTTTATTAAATCCCATTTGTCAATTTTTGCTTTTATTGCAGTTGCTGTTAACATTTTTTGTTATGAAATCTTTGCCTGTGCCTATGTCCTGAATCGTATTGCCTAGATTTTCTTCTAGGGTTTTCATAGTTCTGGGTTTTACATTTAAGTGTTGAATCTATGTTGAGTTAATTTTTGTATAAGGTGTGAGGCAGGGGTCTAGATTCAATGTTCTGCATGTGGCTAGCCAGTTTTCCCAGCACCACTTTTAAATAGGGAATCCTTTCCCTATTGCTTGTTTTTGTCAGATTTGTCAAATATAAAATGGTTGATGTGTAGCCTTATTTCTGATGTCTTATTTCTGTTCCATTGGTCTATATGTCTGTTTTTGTACCTGTACCATGCTGTTTTGGTTACTCCAGTATAGTTTGAAGTCAGGTAGTGTGATGTCTCCAGCTTTGTTCTTTTTGTTTAGGATTGTCTTGGCTATATAGGCTCTTTTTTGTTTCCGTATGAATTTTAAAGTAGTTTTTTCTAATTCTGTGAAGAACATCAATGGTAGTTTAATAAGAATAGCATAGGATCTATAAATTACTTTGGGCAGTATGACTGTGGATTTGTCATAAATGGCTCTTATTTTGAAGTATGTTCCTGTAAGTACCTTGTTTATTGAGAATTTTTAACATGAAGCAATGTTGAATTTTATTGAAGGCCTTTTCCTGTGTCTATTCAGATAATCATATGGTTTTTGTCTTTAGTTCTGTTCACGTGATGAATTGTGTTTATTGATTTGCGTATGTTGAACCAGCCTTGCATCCCGTGGATGAAGCTGACTTGATGGTGGTGGATAAGTTTTTTGATGTGCTGCTGGATTTGGTTCCCAGTATTTTATTGAGGATTTTTGCATCGACGTTCATCAGGGATATTGGCCTTAACGTTTTTTTCTTTCTTTGTTGTGTCTCTGCCAGGTTTTGGTATCAGGATGATGCTGTCCTCATAAAATGAGTTAGGAAGTAGCCCCTCCTTTTCAATTGTTTGAAATAGTTTCAGTAGAAATGGTACCTGTTCCGTTTTGTACCTCTGGTAGAATTCAGCTGTAAATCCATCTGGTCCTGGGCTTTTTTTGCTTGGTTGTTTGTAGGCTATTTATTACTGCCTCAGTTTCAGAACTTGCATATTAGTCTCTTCAGGGATTCAACTTCTTCCTGGTTCAGTGTTGGGAGGGTGTATGTGTCCAGCAATTTATCCATTTCTTCTAGATTTTCTAGTTTATTTGCATAGAGGTGTTTGTAGTATTCTCTGATGGTTGTCTGCATTTCTGTGGGGTCAGTAGGGATATCCCCTGTATCATTTTTTATTGTGTCTCTTTGATTCTTCTCTTAAGTGATTCTTGTATCTCAACCTCCCAAGTAGCTGAGATTACAGGTGTGCACCATCATGCCTGGCTAATTTTTGTATTTTTGATAGAGATAGGGTTTCACCATGTTGGCCAGGCTGATCTCAAACTCCTGACCTCATGTGATCCACCTGCCTCAGCCTCCCAAACTGCTGGGATTACAGG